GGAACGACGCAAGAAAGCACGCTGCGTTGGAAGCACAGGTGGCGTAATCAATACGCGCACCGCACAGCACAGTCCGCGACACGTCAACGGACCACTGTGGCGTTTGCGCTGCCTTCTCTGTCCCCGTAATACGACGTATGCATCAACGATTCCAAATAAAGTCCCAGCACGGAGATTTCGCCTTGCTGGAGTCGGTTGAAGGCCCTTCAGGGCAGCGGTGCGCCACGCCGTGCTGTCTGGCCGGCGGAACGCCAGCCTTCCCGCCTCGCTCGGGCGCCCGTTCTGACCGTGGAGGTGGACGCCGGGATGGTCAACAGTGCTCAGCGCACCAGGTGGGCAGCCGGCACCGGGCTGGGAGACGACGTGGCTGGCGCGACGCCGTCAGCGCGGCTTGCTTCCCCCGTAAGCCGCCGGAAATCGCCGCAAGCGTCCGCCATCGATCGCCGTGCCGTGCGCGCTGCGGCCTGGCGGCGAACCAGCGGTCAACACGGCCTGACGGCGAACCAGCGGTCAACACGGCCTGGCGATCAACCATCGGTCAACGCGACCTGGCGAGGGATCAGCGTCAACACGGCCTGGCGGCGAACCAGCGGTCAACACGGCCTGGCGGGGGACCAGCGGTCAACACGGCCTGGCGGGGGACCAGCGGTCAACACGGCCTGGCGGCGAACCAGCGGTCAACACGACCTGGTGGCGAACCAGCGGTCAACACGGCCTGGCGGGGGACCAGCGGTCAACACGGCCTGGCGGGGGACCAGCGGTCAACACGACCTGGTGGCGAACCAGCGGTCAACACGGCCTGGCGATCAACCATCAGTCAACACGGCCTGGCTGCGAACCGGCGGTCAACACGGCCTGGCGAGGGACCAGCGGTCAACACGGCCGGGTGGCGGACCAACGGTCAACGCGGTCTGGCGAGGAATCAGTAGTCAACACGGCCTGACCAGGGACCAGCGGCGGTCAACAATTGTCTTGTGAGGGACCAGCGGTCAACACGGCCCGGCGAGAGAGCAGCTGTCAGCATGGCTTGGTCGGGGGTTAAGGGCCAACACGGCCCGGCGAGAGAGCAGCTGTCAGCATGGCTTGGTCGGGGGTTAAGGGCCAACACGGCCCGGCGAGAGAGCAGCTGTCAGCATGGCTTGGTCGGGGGTTAAGGGCCAACACGGCCTAGCGAGGGAACGAGGAGAACGAGGGAGCAACAAGGAAAATATAGTGAAAACCGCACTGAATACTGCCTAATACCAGTGGTCGGACCAGTGGTCAACCAGTGGTTAGGGAAGGACCAGTGGTCAACACCGGCCGCGCGGGACAGTAAATGGACAGGCAGGAGTGGCTGCGCTGCATCCAGGCCATGTCGGCGGACCATTGGCAAACACACCAGCCGTGAAATAAAATAAGTAAAATAAATATAGTAAATTAAGTAAAATAAATAGTAAATTAAGTAATAATAGTAAATAAAATGATAATAGTAAATTAAGTAAAATAAAGGGCACCGCCACGTGAACTGAAAACAAGAACCGACGGACGGTTAGGATGTCGGGAGCGAGACAGAAAGCACTGCGGGTAGGCTGCAAGCAGACCGCGGCGGCAACGTTCACGCAATGACGTTACACGGACGTCAGGACGACCGCTCCGGCGTCGCAGGTCCAGTAAGTTGATTCCCCCAAATCAATTGAGGTAGACTTACGACGATTGGCGACGAAACTCGATTAACTACCGGAGTCGAATCAAATGCGACAATCAAGGGCGTCAAGCATCGGAGGCAGCCAGTTGAAGTGAACCTTGGCGCCGCCGTCAGAGCCTGCTCTGGCCGGTTCCAAAGACTCCGGACGAGCCTGCCAAACGCTTGTTGGCATTTAGAGGCTCAAGTTCCGCGACGGCCTTCAGCTTAATCTGAGATGAATTTGGCATTCTGCAGTTGCCGAATTCAAAGCAGAAAGTCGAGTTCGATTGCTCCTTCGTACTCTCCAGCTGTATTGATCGATGAACGGGTTGATATGATGAAGTGATAAATGCTACCTATGTCCAGAATGCTACTAGCAATCTTGAATTGCTGTCTTGCAATTGGGATAAGTTATCACTAGCGGTCTTTACCGAAAACAGCTACTTTATATGGATAACACAGTAGTGATAACCTTATTCATCGCGTAAAAACCAGGAAAATGGATCCATCTCTCCATTCTCCTGGTTTTTCGACGAGGAATAAGGCTATTACTACCGTCTTATCTGTATGCATAGTATTCCTCGCGAATGCACTTAACAACTTACGAAAGCAGCTTCTTATCCAGATATGGCTGTTAGAGAACTTTTCCTAGTGCTATTTAGTTTTACTGTTTTAGTGTTAAGTTAGTGGTAGCCTCCGTTAGTAGTTTGTAGTTAGTGTAGGTCTCCAGTCTCTTCGTCGGAAAAAGGCGAAGAGATCGGAGGCCAGGTTGGGCCTCTGTCCCGCCTGATAACGGAGTTCTGCGGGGATCAGGTCCCAGAGGGCTTGAGTGGAGCAGATCAGATCGGATCCGATGTGATCTGGTCTGATCGGATCCGATGTGCTCTGACCAAATCGGATCCGAGACAGGGCGGCCTATGTAGTCAGGCCCTTTGAGTTCACCCCAGTGAACGGCGCGTTCGGAGCTTCGGTGCGGGTCAAGCGGCTTTGTTAGCGGACTACTTTGGGGCGTGATTACGAGCGAGGTTGTCCGCCGAGCAAGCCTGACGTGAACTGTGAGGAAATCTCCAGCTGGAACAGCCTCGGGCCCGTCCGGCTGGCAGAAACTTCCTATAAGCTGATCTCTTTCTACAGGGCAATGTCTTCGCAACCGCTGACCACAAGTTCATGCGATTTTTAGTGACAGAAAGTACAATTATTTCATTTAAACCTCTGAACTGTTCGGAGTCTGTATTCGTGTGTGTGTTGTGTAATAACGGAACATTTTTTTTCAATATTCCAATATCACCACGATTTCACTTGCCCATTTCGATTAACCTTGGGAAGAATAGTATTCCAAATTCCGAAAAGCTGACAAACATCGTTCAAGAGTGGTTCCAGACCTCGACGACACGAGCCGTGGCGACACGAAACCAGCAGAGTATGTCAGCGGAGAGAGCAGACAGCGTTATTGGCAACAGGATGGGTGGATACGTGCGGACGGACACGAGCTCTCGTTCAAAAACCGTGGAGCCGCTGGTTTCTCAGCGTTTTTCAAAGGATCGATGCCATATAAAAATGACGTACAAAGGTGTGAAACTAACAGCATGGTGAGGGCAAATCATGAGGCTACAACTCGCTAAGGGATCTGAGCAACTCCCAATGCTGTTCGTCGGCGATCTGGCGACTTAAAAATCCATGTCCGATGACACATATAGCAAGATCTCGATGCATCGCCTGCCTCACTCCCTCACATTTTCAAGTAGCTAAGGTAAACTACAGTGCAAATTCAGCGTAAGTTACAGCGCATTGGTGGGCCCTGTCTGATAAGCCTTTATCGACGGTAGAGTTCTCATCTCACTGAAGAAACTTATTGGTATCGGTCGTCGCAGACTTGGCTCGATTAGCTTAGTTTTTGGCACCATCTTCATGAGATAACAACAAAGAACGCTTACAGATGCTGTTGCCTCAGTGGCCCTATGTTGCACGGCATGTCCTGGTTGGTAGGAGCCATTTTGTTATCCAATATACGAAAGTGCATTCATCTGCTCCAATTGAATGTTCGACAAGCACATGACAGCATGACATGCAGTGTTCTATTTAAGAAACGTTTAGGAGCCTTCCTGATATATATATATATATATATATATATATATATATATATACACACACATATATATATATATATATGTATATGTATATGTATATATGTATATGTATATATATATACATATGTATATATATATATATATATATATATATATATATATATATATCAGTGACCATTTATGTAGATCGACATCAACGCAAGCCGCCCACTCCGGCTGGCCGGTGTCCCTCTCTGCTGTCAGCCGTTCCTGGACATCTGCGGGTGCCATTAGCATGTATTCAGCATGTAATCCTGACGAAACCCATGTTGTAAAGACGGCCCTGTTATTGAAAATCAAGCTTAAAGAGGTGAAATATCCTCATGCTGCAATCTTGAGAGCACCCGACCCTCATCTGGTCCTCCTTTGGATGCGACCCAACGCCGAAACCCCTCCCCTTCCCTAGGCATTGTGACGACACGTAGTGCAAATTTTGGGTTATCTGTAACTTCACTTTATTTGGAGCACGCCCGTCCTGTTTTTGTTAAAATAAATGCCGATGCTATTGAAAACATAAACGTTCGGTTCTTCACAGGTCCTCGAACGTTTCTCTGCAGTTCAGTTTATTGGCTGCTGGGCGTAGACACCAAATTTATAATTTTTAGTGTTGACGATAATGCCACGATGAGGATGACGACTTGTTATTCCACTCCCCGGCTTTCATTTTGCAAATGCGTTTCACTAGAATCGAGACTTTAGTGAAGTTGTGAGACCATGTTTGTTCGCCAGTTCAAATAACGCTATCGTGCCGCGTGATTTTATACGCTGAATACTGCGGCCTCAGTGCTTGGGCCGGGTGAAAAGGATTTTCTAAGACCCAAGTCGAAAAGAAGCCCCACCGTTTTATCAATCCGCGGCCTTGATAAAACACCGCAAGTGTTGATCTCAAAGTGCTCTGTTCGATCCCATCACAATGTGCACATGCTTTAAATAAGTGCGAATCATCAGCGAAGAATAGTCAACGCAGCCAGCTAAGTCACCGGTAGAAGGCAAACCTGGTAGAAGCCGGTAGAAAGCCAGTAGAAGAGGGCCGGTAAAAAAAGGAAGTCTGTGGAAGCCTGGTCAGGATGGAGCATTTGATGTGGGAATATGCCCGACAGTTTTGTGGGGTTTATTGCGTCCGGTGTGGGCCGACAGGATTGCGTAAGAACCTCCTTTTAGGTGCTTGTGTTTGCATTGGACTGCCAGTAACCAGCGCTCTCTCTTTGCAGAATTTGAAAAACCAGATTATGACAACGAACCTCTGGGTTGAACAGGTGAGCTAATGCCTAAAATGTGGGGCGAAAATATGTTGTTTCTAAGAAAATTTCTCAAACATCTTACCTGTTCTCTTTTAAAGGGAGGGAGCACAGAGTGGGGCAATAGGCTGTTTTTATTCCCACTGTCGTAGTTTGCTAGTCGTTTCCCGCAATAGCCCGATACGTGACTATTGTCCCGACTGACACAAAGTCGCATTACATTTCATCTAAGCCTTTTGCAGTCTGCCTGATGGCAATAGCAATGTCTTAAATCGTAGGGCTACGGCACAAAACGAAGTTTATGGTTGGCTGACACGGAAAATGCAGTCGGATGACGATTTTACAAGCTGAGTGCCCCCATGAGCACTTCAAGTCTGGGGGAGCGGGTAGCGCGCCAACAGTCAGATCTGGCCTGATGTTTCTGACATCCGTCAGCACTGGGAGGACTACAAACTGAAGTGGGAGCCAGAGGAGTACGGCGGCGTGACCATGCTGCACGTGCCGTCCGATCACATCTGGAGGCCCGACATCGTGCTCTACAACAAGTGAGCGGGCTGTGCTGACTCAACTGATCGTCAGTTGTCACGCCCGCTCCTGGCCATAACCTGACTGAGCTTTATCCCAGTCCGTCGCGTACCGTCCCATCCGGCCATTCGGTCGTGCTGTGTTCCGTCCCATCATATCCGGAAGCTTTCTGTGCTGTCTTGTTCCGTGCAATCTCGACCGACCCCGACCAGCCCGTTCAGTCGCATTGCATGATGCCACGTCCCGTCCCGTCCTGTCACGGCACGGCACGGCACGGCACGGCACGGCACGGCACGGCACGGCACGGCACGGCACATTCTGGTTGGCCTAACAGGGTTGGCTATTGTTAAAACAGCCCTGCTCTGTCCTGCCTTGACAAACAGCCGTTTTCTTCGTGTCGTGGTGGAAGTGTCCTATAACACACACGTGCTCGAAATGTCGCGCAGAGACCTGATGTAGGACGCTGTTAACCGAATATCATTGCCTAGTGCTGATGTTTGACATAAGTAAATTTGCGAAGATTTGGAAATTTCTACACCTACAGGTGCGTCCGTATTAATGCTGAGCTTTATAGATTTACGCGCTGCCGGATCATTTCTTTTGTTTCTTTCGTCGCCTCCACTTCAGGCTGGCAATTTTGCTTTTAGAATCCGGTTATAGGAGTTTTCAGTTATGTGTTTCAATTTATGTCAACAGATGTGGTTGACTGCTAGGTCATGGGCAGTCAACAACACATTCGTATTCTTCCAGCGCCGACGGCAACTTCGAGGTGACGCTGGCGACAAAGGCCACCCTTTACTTTGACGGGCGGGTCGAATGGAAGCCGCCGGCTATCTACAAGTCCTCCTGCGAGATCGACGTCGAGTACTTCCCGTTCGACGAGCAGACGTGCGTCATGAAGTTCGGCAGCTGGACGTACGACGGAAAGCAGGTGAATGAGCATCTCAGATTTCACGCCTGATACGATCGGCGCGTGCTGGCATAAACTGTAGCAACAATAAAGCCTTCTCGCGCTGCTGCACGCCTTATTTCTCGGAGGTCAGTTCTGGAACTTAAGATCGCACCGCAGCACGAAGCTGCTGAGGGGAGCCTTCCTGATCCTGGCACATGCCCTGGGCAGCAAGCAGGTCAGAGGGCTGGAGTGATTGATGACCGACCCATTACCTCGATGGTGTGTTTGAGGAGCTCGACTGGAATTGAAGCGAACTGAAGAGGCTGCTGTGCGGTCGGTGCTGCTCCGTTATGAGGTGTGTGGGTGGTAGACATCTATTATAATATGGCTCTATTTCTGGAAGATATACGAAACCAAGTCCAGGAATCGGTTGCCGTATGGTATTTTCGCTTTAAGATTTCGTCCTAAACTTTTGATTGGATAGACTTCT